TTTTTTCATTTTTAAATTTTATGAATTTTAAATTATTTTTTAAAAACTCCATTAGTTTTGTTGATGTGGCATATATGAGGAGCCCACATCTACAATAATATAGTGTCGTGTGTATTTAAAATACAATATATATTTTTAAATAATTTAAAATTCATAAGATTTTAAAAAGAAAACCAAAATTTTATGAATTTTAAATGAAAAAAATTAAAAAAATATTTGCAGGAACCATCTGTGACAGGTGCGTGAACCTCAGGGATATTTTGTTATATATATATATATATGCCACATCAGCAAACTAACGGAGTTTTTGACGGAACCTAACGGCAGAGACCATTTGTGATCACACATACTAACCTTGAAGACCACCAATGACACAAAAAAACATTAAGGATGTAATCTGATAGTTTCGTAAACCTTAGGGACATTTTGTGATAATAAGCCATGATTTTATTTGGAGGCTATCTGAAGCTTGGCCTAAAGTTCTTTCTAATCTGATATGGCACTTGCCACCACTGCAGGTTACCAAGCTTATGGAGAGGGTTGAAACTACGTTCATCAAGCATTTCTCAAACTCAAATCGCAGAAAAGGAATGGCCGTCTTAAGGCCAAAAGCAAAGATAGAAAGACATAGGATAACATTTGCCATGGGTAAGGCCTCTAGCTAAATCAGTAGAGTTAAATTTTTTAACACTGAACAAGGACAGTTTTGGTATCAATTTCCTCCCTTTGAATCTGTTTATTGGAAATGTTTAGGTTGCTTTGCTGGCTGCACAGCTGCTCTTATATTAGCACTTATTTTGATGGTGCGTGCTCGCAATATTAACAATGCCAAGAATCCTGAATTTGACAAAGGAAAAACCCAGTACATGGATAACATGTTTCCCTTATACAGGTACTTATAATTAGGCCTTTGCTTTACTATTCTTCTTCCCAAGTTTCCAACCAAAAAATAATACTCAATTCGTTTGACATGTTAAACTTTCTTGCAGCTTGTTTGGATTCATTTTTCTGCACATGCTTATGTATGCCGGCAACATATACTTTTGGAGGCGGTTCAGAGTCAATTACTCTTTCATATTTGGTTTCAAGCAAGGAACTGAGTTGGGCTACAGAGAGGTGCTTCTTCTCAGTTTTGGTCTGGCAGTGCTAGCACTTGCTTCTGTGCTCTCAAATCTTGACATGGAGATGGACCCCAAAACCAATGATTACAAAGCACTAACCGAACTTCTCCCTCTCTTCTTGGTT